ATCCAAAAGAGAGACAATTTTAGCTTTCCAAAGGCTAGTTAATTTACTAAATTCAGTCTGTGACCAATCTCTCCTGAGAAGAGTCCAGTGCAGTGGGCCAAATCTCGTGGGCAATACTCAGGAGTGCATGAGATTGTGAATTCAACTGGGAAAGTTGTATTTGGAAATGGCTCATATCAAACCTGGAAATGAAAAGTTTGGAAGCTTCACATTAAAATGAACCAAACAATGGACTAGATATTCAGAGGCTTGCATCTCAGTTCCACTTCAATCCCTAATGGGTCTACTGACATCAGCAAGCCATTAGTTTCCTTACCTGTAAAAATAGATACAACATTTTCCAAACATTGTTTGTTGTTGCTGTTGTTGTTGTTGTTTGTTCAAATGAAAGCTTATACCTAAGTCTAATTTATAAAGTAGCTAAAGACAGAACCATTCTCTTGGTAACTGCAAGCTGGAGCCAGGGCTATGGCCAGTGATATTTCATTCTTCTCCTCCCCACAGCCGTCAACTCACCACCATGATGTGCCAAGCAGAGGGCAACGTAAACATTTTGGAGAGATGGTAGCTGAGGTCTCTGGAGTTCTAACTTTTACACAGGGAACCCTGTTTTGCTTGATGGGACACCCACAGAAGCATCCAGTATTAAAAGAGGAATTAGTACCTGAAGATTTTATGTGAAAAAGTAGCATGGGTTATTTTAATGCAACCTCTGAATGATGTTGCAAGAGAGTTCGTAGGACAATTTGAAAATGAGCTTTAAGCTCATAATAAACTTCGAAAGCTCTATGGCCATTTTTGATGCCCCTCCTTTCTGTAAGCACACAGCAGTTTCTAGTCTGCCCTGCATTTTTATATGTGTTATCTCACGTGTAAGCATCTGAACAACCTCACTGCTTCACACTGTCCCGACTGAAGTCAGTTTGAGAGGAGCCTTCAGTATCTTTCAAAGACTTCTTTCTTATAAAGAAAAGGGAAGAAGGTTACTATCTGAAGAAACCAGACATTCCACTTGCCAGTGTCAACCTTGAACCCGTAGACAAATGGTCTTGACAAAATGATCTCTTCACCCTAGCTTAGTCCCATGAATAGAAGGTCTTGCATGTTTATAGATTGTCCATTTTACGCCCTGGATTTGGGTATCCATTGCTTACGTATTTAAGGATGTTAATGGTTCTAAACCTCATCCTCCTGTTTTCTCTTCTTTAATTGCAAGGGCTATGAGGAGAAAAGGGAGATAAGGAGAGAGACTGATGTGGGGGGGGAGAAAGTGCCTCTATGACAGAGATAGAGAATGGATCAGCCTAAGTCACTATTAAGCCTGTCTAAACAGTTTAGAATTTTCAAAGACACTGGGGAACAATTCAGCAGTTATGTACTTACTCTCTGTATCCTCCCCTCCAAAAATGTGGTGGTAATGTTATAAAGACAGGAATCAGTTTAAAAATGCGAGAAGAGCTGACAATGAAATATGAATGAGAAGTGCAAATTTGAGGAAAATGTTACATTGTTAAAAAACCCATAACATGAAGCTTAGGGTGAGGTATTTGTATTTATTACTAGATACAGAAATTTTTCCTCCCACTCTATTTCCTTAAAAGGAAGTAAATTCAGCCACATGACAACCGCTCCCATTCACGAATGACAGTTACTTCATATTTTGATTTCTAACTTTTTTTTTTAGTCCCTAAATTACATTTTTAGTGTTTCTTTTTGTTCTGCTCCTTTGACCTAGCCTGGAAAATCTGAAGAACATTTATTTCTTTTTCTTTTGACTCCAAAAAGCCTTTATAATTTTCTTTTATAAACCTGAAGTACAAAAATAATGATACTTTAAAAACATATGGGTAAACGACATTTTCATTTGTAATAAGACAATATAGTCATAATTAAAATCCATAGTTCAAGGAACTTTAACTTTTATCCTTTTAAAAAAAATTAAGTGGCCAGGCACAGTGGCTCATGCCTGTAAATCCCAGCACTTTGAGAGGTTGAGGCGTGAGGATTGCTTGAGCCCAGGAGCTCAAGACCAGCCCCAGCAACATCGCAAGACACTGACTCCACTAAAAAAAAAAAAAAAAAAAAAAAAATTAGCCAAGTGTGGTGCAGGCACCTGTAGTCCCAGCTACTGGGCAGGTAGAGGAGGGAAGATCATTTGAGCCCAGGAGTTGGAGCTTGCAGTGAGCTGTGATTGTGCCACTGCAATCAAGCCTACATGACAGAGCAGATTTTGTCTCAAATATAAATAAATACAGAATAATCAAGTGGTTTATAATTATTAGAAATTATCTATCATTTATCATATACAGAAGGACTTGTAAATTTACAGACTGTACATTTTACGGCCTAGACGTAGGCATCCAATGTTCATTGACAACAAATGCAGTTCCTGACAAGGGTATTGCTAGTCCAGAGCTAACAGAGCATGGAGCCAATGTACCCAATGTTTGGGGATCCACTCTAGAGGTGTAGAGAGTTGATGCAGCTTCCAAAAGCTGTTTTCTTCTTCTCCCATTGTCTGTGTACTGCAATAATCTCATGCTTATGTGTTCATGTTAAATGTTCTGTTATTTAATACATCCTTTAAAACTTGATAAAAGCAAATCTCACTAAATATATGGCAGCTAATACATATAGCACAAAGAAACTTCAGTATTCTATCTGTTCTGGTGTTTTAATCTCAAAGCAATTCAGAAATAAGTTTTGGCAGCTAAGGAAAATTATATACTGATTACAGGAACCTGGTATAGTGCAAATGAGCAATAGAAGTCTATTCCTCAACCTTGTGTAACAATATATTGGTGATGTTTTATACAGAATTTAAAATAAAATAGCTTTCTTTTCCAAGATAATTTTTGTGTTATAGCTACAAACTGATCTTTTTTTAAAAACATGATTTCAAGCCAGTTTCTCTTTAAAGTGATCTTTATTTTTCAATATGAAGTGTTCCATAGCCCAGAGAGCTAACTCTTATTAAATGCTTACTATGTGTCAGACACTGTTCTCGGCTTGTTATGTATTTTATCTCATTTAATTTTACAATGACCTTATGAGGCAGGGATTTTTATTACTGGCATTTAACTAACTTGCTGAAGGTCATGCAGACAGAGATGGGTGAGGATAAGATTTGAAGTCTGGCAGTCTGACTTCAGAACCACTATAGTAAGTCACTACATGGTACTTCACAGACTAAGACCAGAGCTAGATAATCTCTTCAGGCATGACACAGAAAAAGATTACACAACTATGACTGAAATATTTACTTCATCTCAAACTCTGCTTCCTCTATCTTAAATTATTAAGGCTTAAGAATGAAATAAAACTAATTATGTACATGATGTGATTTGGCTGTGTCCCCACCCAAATCCCATTTGAATTGTAGCTCTCACAATCCCATCTGTCATGGGAAGGAGGCGGTGGGAGGTAACTGAATCATGGGGATGGTTTTTTCCCATGCTGTCCTCATGACAGTGAATAAATCTCATGAGTTCTGATGGTTTCATAAAGGGCAGTTCCCCTGCACATGCACTCTTGCCTGCCACCATGTAAGATGTGCCTTTGATCCTCCTTTACTTTCTGCCATGATTGTGAGGCCTCCCCAGCCCTGTGGATCTGTGAGTCCATTAAACCTCTTTTTCTTTATAAATTACCCAGTCTCGGGTACTTCTTTATAGCAGTATAAAAATAGACTAATACAGTATGACTTTCTGTAACAAAGACTCATCATCTAGGAAGCAATATTGATATTTATAAAAACTACTTAAGCTTTCCAGATTACTGCAATATCTGATGCTTTTCCTGGAACTGGAGTTTTCTAGAGTGGATGGAGCTTGTTCATCACCAAGGTACCACTCTAGTACAGCCCTCTTTACCTTCTATTTTGGCCTCAATGATACAATGTTTTGCCATATCGAAAAACAAACAAACAAACAAAAAAATCCTCAACATATGTTGGAAAACTGTAGAGATAACACACAGAGAGATGACTCCAACATAGGGGCCTTTCTTTAGGTTCTGAATTAGTCTGGGGAGACGCAGAAGACCACTGTTGGGCTAGAGGATCCACTTGTAAACTGGATTTTAAAAGACCCCAAAATGTATGGTTCAAAAAGTCTAGCATCCCCTTGAAGAATCTCACCTGCATAAATGTTAGGCACTTTATGAATCTGGAACTCAAGCAGGTTCTCTGAGTTCCCTGGGTCATGGGCGTTTAGCACTAGACGGCACCTTGGGAATTAGCTTGTCTAACTCTTCATCTTTTTGCCAATGAGGAAATCAAAGAACAAAGAGATTATGAGTTTGCATGATGTCCCAGAGCCTGCCAGTGATAACACTGCAATGGGAAGCAGGTTCTCTGGCTCTAATTTCAGGATTTTTCAATGAACTGAGTTGGACTTCATTCCAAGCACAGCCACTGACCTTTTAGATAGGTGGTTGTGAGTCTGACTCTTTTCTCTCTGTCCTTATTGGCAGGAATTCTGGGCAGAGGTTGTTACCCTGACTTACAGTTATCTGGTCATGCAGCTGAATGTTCAATACCCTATCAAGTAGCAGCAGAGAACTAAAAACACACACACACACACACATTCAATACTACATGCAGTGTTACTCGATGTTATTTTAAAGTTCTTGACTGTAACATTGGAGAATATTGCTTATTGATAAATACCTATGTAACTAAAATCTTATTTTCACCCAAATCTTTAAGAAGCATGGATGGAGAAAAACATGATATAAAACACACCTCTTCTTTTTTTTTTTTTTTTTTTTTTTTTTTTACCTTATTATCAATTTAAATGTAGATTTGAGGGAAATATTATATATTTTCTTTGTGCAAGCATTTGCATTAAACCAATGATAGACTTCAATAAGTCCTACTTGCAAAGAAAGAATAAAAAAAGACATGTTGAGAAGTTTCTACAGTTCTGAGATTTGGCATGCCTGTTCACGCTAGTGCCTGCCAAGCCTGGGTATGGCATCCTACAGGTAACATGACATACCAGGAGCAGCTGCAACAACAGCACCAACAAAAGCAACAGGTGTTGTTGGGCCTCTGGTTTCCAGGCGCTTGAGACACAGCAGGTGTTCCTTCATTTTGGGGCTGCTGCCTTTTTCGCATTTCAGCTACTTCAGGACCCAATTGGCTGAAAGAGATAAAAAAAAAAAAAAAAAAAAAAAAAAAAAGGGTATGAAAAAAGCAGTAAGGATAAGTTACCTATGTTGAAGGAAGGCTCATTTCACTAAGGGAGAAGGGAGATAATTTAAGAAAAGGTAAAACAAGGAAGCTTGAGAAGTCAAACTAAAAATTCTCAGGAAAACTTTTTAGAAGAATGTACTAAAAACTTTGGGGAGGAACGTCTACCATGATCTGCTGCATAAAATTATAGCAACAAAGTTGCCATGTAATCAAGACTGTTGGTAAAGTAAATATGATAAGGTTTGAAAATTTATTTTTAACTTCCTTCTTTACTCAAGAATGATTAAGTCTGCCTTTTTTATGGACACCATTCAGTGATTACAGAGGGCGTATGGAACTCGTTTTTCCACTAATGTTTACAGTAAGATAAACTGAGCTTTATAAATGATTGTTGCATGGTTTCTAACTATATAAGAGTATGAGGAAGATCAAGTTTATTCTTGGCCCCCTCTCACTTCCTTTGAAACACTCAATATCCTTTTTGGCACTTTTGACTCATCCTCCAGAGGCCTAACCTTAATAACATTACCAAAGGGCCTTATTTTCTGTTAGGTGTCAGTGTTGCAAAGGCATTAGCTTCTCTTCCTCCATCCCCCAACTTTATTGTTATTTAATGGAGACTCAGGGGAAAATAAAAGTCATCAAATTCAGGGGAATTACTCTGGTGGAATTTATATATCATGGCAGATAAAATAAATAGTGGGATACAGAGTGTCCTATCTGTGATCTTACAAATAAGGCCAAATGAGTTGCTACCTATTTATAGGACCAATCCTGATCTAAGACTGTGTTGAGGATTAAAATAAAAAGTTTCATCTTATTATCAAATTTAGCATGAACTCTTAGAAAAAGTAATGCAATCTACTGAATGATGTTTTTCATAAATATGTCATGTATGTAAATCATACACATATATTGTCAAATGTGTGGCTGAAAGCAGTACTTATTAAAACTATGAAGTGCTTCAGGTTATTTTGGCATTATGAGCTCATTATTTTAAAATGATATTTTTGGTTCGGAATACAATGATAAACACTTTAAAAAATACTGTGTTCTTGAAAACCAGATAACCACATTTTTTGACCGGAAACAGAGCAGAAAACCACAGAGGTAGGTAAATGGGGTCTAAAGCCACAGTCATTCTGCAATTCAGATACTGAAACAGAAGCGGGCAAAGGTCCCACACTCCAGTGAGGTGTCAGATGCTTCCCTAGGAGGAGTGGGAGTCTGATTCCAGGTTGCCTGCATAAAATCAGGGGCTGTGATTGTGCCATTCACAAAAAGGTACTAAAAAAATAATTTCTGCTATTCAGTAATGCCTAGCTGCAGAAAGGGTAGGATGTAGAAAAAGCTATCCAGATTAGACTTCAGCCAATCAGCTTATTTGTTCAGTGACTGCGTCAGGGAATTTTCCAAAATCACTGCCAGATGGCAGGGAATCCTGAGATACTGATAAAAGAGCTGCTTCAAGACTAAGGGTCTTAAGGGGATTAGTGGAAACAAATGAAAAGCATTACATTATGAAGAGTAAGTGACAGTAAGAAATACATCTCTCACTCAATGTGTTACCTGAAAGCAAAAATCCATATTAACACCAGAAAACAGACAACCAACAATTAGGAGATTAATATATTCCTGATCAAGTGGTAATAACAGAATCACCTAAAATTAGTTGAACAAACATATATTTAAGATAAACAATGTGATAAAGAAAAGAATACAATTTAAATGGGAGAACAATAAATTAGAAAACATATCTGACTTCCCCTTTTCCAATTTGGATGCCTTTTGGATACTTGCACCTCCAGGTTTATTGCAGCACTATTCACGACAGCCAAGGTGTCCAAAACCGAGGTGTCCAAAAATAGATTAATGAATAAAGAAAATGCGGTATATATACATCATGGAATACTAATTTAGCCATTAAAAAGAATGAAACCCTGTCATTCATAGCAACAGGGATGGAACTGGAAGACATTATATTAAGTGAAATAAGCAAGGAACAGAAAGTTAAATACCACATATTCTCACTTATATGCAGAAGTTTAAAAAACATTGATTTCATAGAAGTAAAAAGAAGGGCATAGCATACCAGAGGCTGTGAACGGTAGCAGTAAAGGAGAGATATGGACACATTTTTTAAGGGACATAAAATGGCAGCTAGATAGGAGAAATAAGTTCTAGTGTTCTACATCACTGTAGGATGATTAAAGTTAACAATAATATATAGTTTCAAATAGCTGGAAGGAGGATATTGAAAATTCCCAACAGAGTAATGATAAATGTTTGAGATGATGAATATGCTAATGACCCTGACCTTATCACTCTACGTTTTATGTACTGGAACATCATTATGTACCCCATGAATATGTACAATTATTATTTGTCAATTAAAAACTAATAAAATAAAATAAATTATAAAACAAAATCGGCAAATATGAAATAAGAAAAGACATAATGGGAATGTAAAAACAAACACAAATAGCTATTAAAAGATTTACACATAATCAGCTCTTTCCCAAACAATCCCAAAGATGGTGCCAAGGAATATACTCAGAATTCAGCAGAGTGATAAAAAGCTAAAACATGAAAAGAGAATTGAGATAAGTAGACCAGTAACATTGAAAGGTCCCAATATACACCCAACAAGATTTTCTTCATAAGGGGAGAAATAATGGATTGTCAGGAAAGTCATAATATTTTAAGGAAAACTGGCCAAGAACTCCCTACAATTGGAAGAAAACAAAACAGAACAAAGCCTCACATAAAGGAGTATGCCACATGCTGAGTAGGATGAATAAAAATAAAAATAAATCTACACTTCTACACAAAATAGTAAAAACACATCTAGACGATAAAGACAAAAGCTGAATTACCCACACACAAGTAATACTTTGATTGACAGTGGACTTTCCATGAGCAATATTAGATGCTGAAGACGGTGGGCAATGGAGTAATGTGTTCCAAGTGCTGAGGAATAATAATCATCCTACAATTTTATATGCAGCTAAATAAAAAATCAAGAGTGAAGATTATTTCTGATAAACTCACTGAGTAGATTACTCAAATATTTGCTGGAACCTACTTCAGTCAGAAGAAAATAAAATTAGAGGGAAGGAGTAGAATATAAGAAACAAGAACTGAAATTGGTAAAATAGGATGCTGAACTTAATGACCTGGCTAAAATAAAAGTACATTTCCCTGTATAGATACACTCAATAATTAAATTTAAGATTACATCAATTATAAAAATGAGTGGACTGCCCTAACCCTCTAATGAAACAGATTTTGTAGACATCTCAATGTCCCCATATTATTAAGTCCCAGAGTTATTTTGCCATCTCCTTCTGGGCCAACAGCATTTTACACTACAATGGACTGAAGTTGCCCCTCCAAAATCTATTTGTTGAACTCCAAACCCCCGTTGTGATGGTATTAAAAGCTGGGGCCTTTGGGAGGTAATTAGCTCATGATAGTTGAGTGCTCATGAATGGGATTAGGGCCCTTATAAGAAGAGGCCAGAGAACTGGATTGCTTTTCCCCACCATGTGAGGATACAGAAAGACAATCTTCTACAACTAGGAAGCAGGCCCTCACCAGACACCAAATAGGCCACCACCTTGATCTTGGACTTCCCAGCCACCAAAACTGTGAGAAACAAATTTACGTTGTTTTTAAGCTACCCAACTATGACACTTTGTCTACAGTAGTCCAAACTGACTATTTTAACTCCACCCTCTTTGAAATACTTTCTTCTCTCGCCTCCTGGGCACCACACTCACCTGTCTTTCTCATCATTTCTTTGCAGTCTTCTTTCTTGTTTCCTTTCATCTTCCTCGTTTCCAAATTTTGAATGGCCACAGTGTTCTTTCTTCTCTATCACTTCTTTGATGAACTCATTGAGACTTTTTTGGGTCTACCAGCTTTCTGTACAAAATTCTCAAATTTACATGCCCAGTGAAGATAATTTTCCGGAATTCAGGATGCATATATCCAGCTACTTAATATCTTCACTTGGCTTTCTCAAACTTAACATGCTCTAATCTGCCCTCATTATCTTTTCCCAAAAAAGTGTTCTTCCCACAGTTTTCCCAATTTTAGTGAATGAAAAGCCTCATCCTTCTCATTATTCACACCAAAAAACCCTGGACTCATCCTTGACTCCTCTATTTCATTGGGATGTCACATCAGCAGATCAGCAAATTTAAGACTTCTAAACTGGTATCCCCCACCCATCTTCTGTTTCTACCACTTCCTGTCTCCTTCTATTACAATTCCATTTTATTCTGTTCTCAAGACAGCAGCCAGTATGAGCCTTTCAAACCTAAGTCAGATAATTTCAGCAAAGACTCTTCCATTCAAATCCAATCCAAATCTTCCAGTGGCTTACCATCTTATTCAGAGTGAACTTCTTACAGTCTGCTTTTTTGTTACTCCCCTGAATGTATCTCCTTTTCTCTGCCTCTTGTTCTCTGTTTCAATCACAATGGCCTCCTTGCTGCTCCTCAGCCATGCTTGGTACAATTAGGCGTCAAGACCTTTGCACTTGTTCCACACTTAGGGTTTCACTCCTTCAAGTATTTACCGAAATGTTACATTCTCCTTGAAACTTTCCTGACCGTCTTATTTAAAAATGAACTCCCTCACCCCATCCCCAGTATGGCCTGTTACCTTTTCCTGTTTAACTTATCACCATATAATGTATCACCACTAGTCATACTACAAGTTTTACCTGTTTGTTTGTCTAACCAAGTAGCCAACAAATATGATGAAGGCAGACACTTTTGTCTGTTTCGTTCATTGTTGTAGAAATGCTTGGTACATACTAGGTACACAAATATTTGTAGAATGGTTAATTTTACAGCATTCCTATTAATGATAAGAAGAAAACAATAAAGTCTATATACCCAACATTCAAAATTATTAATTTTGCAGCCACTGCATCAA